TAATTCGTGTGATTGAAGCGAATCTGCCTCGTCTATGCATGTCTGCGTCCCAGTAAAACTGTCTCTTGTGTTAAATGGAACCTGCTTCATGCGGGTAGGCGACAGATTCACTCGGACAAAGTCTATTTTTATCCGACCGTCATTTTCGCGTTGCAGTTTGCAACGGCTGCCAGTTTCCAATCTGCCGCGCAACACGCACATTCACTCCTGCTCTGCTGACAATGGGAAGCACGCAGGCGGGCGACATCGAGCACGGCTTGACCCCGCGTCGCTCGTCGGGCTCCACCTTTTTCCCACGCCCTCCAACGCCCTCCAAGCCGTCGCAGTATACGGCGCTCGAGGCCAGCGACGCCAAGCACTCGTTGCGTGAACATTTGGACGAGAGTGTTGGTCAGGGTGTCCGTAGACTTGCACGTACCGTGCGCCAACATGCACACACCCCACAACTGTCGACCGCCGAAGTGACCGACAAACTCCGTCGCGACGTCAAGGACTCGACGCGCTTCTATTGGCAAAATCTGCTGGTCTTCCAGACCGAAATGCTCTGCGGTGTAGCAGCCATGCTGCTCATGATCCCAGAGACTGTGGCCTTCAGCTACGCGGCCAATCTGGACCCACTTAACGGTCTGTACGCCACAGGCTTCCTCGGTGTGGCCGTGAGTCTATTTGGCGGCGTCCCTGCCACCGTTGCCGGTGCTGCAGGAGCTGTGGCTATGGTCATGCCGACCATCACCAGCGGCACCGGCTCGCTGGCCTATTTGACGTACGAGGAGCGATTGCAACACCTTTTTGTGGCTGTGACGATTGCTGGTATTCTGGAACTTGTCTTTGGCCTGCTCAAACTGTCGAAGCTCTTCTCCATGATTCCTCGAACCGCACATATTGGATTCTTGAATGGTTTGGCATTAATGATGTTCATCTCGCAGAAAACGACCATTGAAGTATGCAAGAACGACACGATGCGCTTCGGAGAGTGCGAAATCGCAGGTGACCTCAAGTGGATGAGTGTGTCGTCGCCCACGACGTGGGTTACTATCGGTCTGGTGCTTGTAACCATGGCTATCATGCACTACTTCCCGAGAACGCCGTATATTGGCCACTTGATCCCGCCCACGCTGGTTGCAGCTGTGATTGGCGTTGGGTTTGAGTTCGGCATCAACCGTCCTCTCCTCGGCTACGACGTGCGGACTATTGGAGATACGTCTCCACTGGACGGTGGGTTGCCCACTTTTGCCGTTCCCAAGTTCGGTGACGTACAAGACTGGGGCGTTGTGCTGTCCACTGCGGCCAGTATCATGGCTGTCGGACTCTTTGAGTCGCTGATGACGCTGCAGTCTGTTGTGGATTTAAAGAAAGAGCAGCTATCGCAGACAGCTACACGCAAAGAGTGCATCGCTCAGGGTATCGGTAACGTGTTGTGTGGATTCTTTTCGGGTATGGGAGGCTGCTCTATGATCGCTCAGTCCAATGGCAACATTTTGAACGGTGCGCGTTACCGTCTATCGTCATTTATGGGTGGCATCTGCACGTTTCTGGTTGTATTTTTCGCCAGTTCCGTCATCGAGCGTGTCCCTGTGGCCTGCCTGACTGGAATTCTCTTCGTGATCGTCATTCACACGTTCTACTGGCCATCTCTCAAGCTCATTTTCCGCGTCAAGATTACGGATTCCATTGCAATTATCCTCGTGACGGTGCTCGCTGCTGCAATGAACCTGGCTATCGCTGTCATTGTAGGCGTCATCTGGCAGTGTCTGGTCAATGGTTGGCAGAGCGGACTCTTGCTTACGTACCACACAGGTATGGAGGTCGTCCCCGTTGTCAACGCCCACGACCGCACGGCTGATCATGAACTGCTTACGAGCCACGAGGAAGCAAAGGTTTACTACGTGAAGGGCCAACTCCTCTTCTCGTCTGTGGCCTCTTTCCGCGAGTTCTTCGACGTTCAACACGATCCTAATGTAGTTATCCTGGACATGCGTGACTGTATTTTCGCTGACTTTTCGGCTGTCGAGGCGCTGCGTGAGGCTGCGATGCGGTACCGCGATGCCGGCAAAACCCTCGTGGCTCGTAACCTCGATCCGAAATCGCTGGATATGCTGAACCACGACTTTGGTTGGGACTCTGTCGAGCATATTCAGATCGCGACCCCAGGTACTGCTACCAATGGTGACGAACTCGTCAAGAGCAAGATCGATAAAGAGCGTCCTTCTCGCTACTCGCGTGCATCGCAGGCGTCTCAGGGATCGCTCCATCAGCTGCACATTCCTTCGCCTTGCGAGAGTTCTACGCCGTATCGCGCCGCTGGACCGTAAACCCCTCCATAAACGAGGGGTGAGGACTGAAAAAATATTGGTGAAAGGGTTGTTTTCAAGTACGAAGTAGGCAAAACATCAAGCGAGTTCCTACTTACGATGGTGGATCCAAGTTTGTGCACGTCAAACTCATGCGCGGTGACCACAGTCCGTGTGATCCCGTCGCCTGAGTATTGATACCTCGATGGGTCCACTACCAAGCCAAGCTACAAGGTTCCACCCAACGGAATCACCTTTGGCGTCCAGACCAAGCAACTCCCTCCTCTCCCCACGCTCAAGCTACGTGTAATAACGCTATTAGCCGCAGTATCGACAATACACCTCACCTCTTTTCTCTCCACTTTGTACTTCGAAGCATTATTTTTTTTT